CACAATTCAAAACGGTCATCAAAAAATGACTGTATCTCATCAGTTAGCAAACCCTGTCAGCAAAATATTTAATGACTATTTAATGATTGTAATCATTGGGTTAGGGTTATCTGTAGCTGACAGTCAGTCACAGCACATACTAATGCTAATAAATCTTGTGAGATTTAACAATATTTCTTGAGATTAAATACGATTTTTACAGGTTGGAACAAAGATGCAATAACTCTCACAAGACCGTCTTACTTTAAAACTGACATTTATAAATTTCTATATATGCTGGCTTATTGTTTCTTTAAAGTATTTACTAACTGGACAGAAAGTGTTTGGAGAGAGCAGCTAACTGAGATGTTTGATCTGCCACATTCAGATAAAACAGATAAAACAGTTTCTAAAATGATCACAGGTTTGTGTAACATGAGCATACTGGACATCTGCACAGATGGATATCAGTGAATCTGTTGGTCGGGCTCCAAGCTAACGTTTTGCTGTGTTGTCAAATTCATCAATAATGAGAACAATTTATTTGAATGTCTAGAAACCAGAAATCTTTCAGAGACTCACATTGGCATCTCCAATGCGCAGTAGTTTCTTTTTTACATTTCAGGACTGCTTATTTGTACTTTCCCTGTCTCTGAAAAGATAACAACTGTGATTTAAGATTTAACTGAAATCTTTAATTTTCTAACCAATTTCACCAACATTTAAGCTGCTTTCAACTCATACTTCTGCAGGAAATGCACAAAGATTCAAGCTGATCAGGTGAGATCACAGGATTGAGGATCTCTGGGATTGGTTCCACTTCACTGTTTGAACCGATGAGGCCAGATGAGCTCTGTTTTTAACTGCACAAGTACTTTCAGTGCTTTAAGTACAGGTGTACTTAATGTTCAGCATCCTGTTATAACAGTTACATAATGACATATTTCCAGATGCAGACTGGACTATTCCAGCCCTGCAATCCCCTGCTTACTCTTTATTTGTAGATCACAAAGCTTCAGTCACATTTCACATCAGATGGTGACCCTGCAGTCATGATGCTGCTACACTTTTAGCACTAAGCTGATGGATTTTCTGCTCATTTCTGCATCCCAATACTCTCCTGAGCCCTCGCCACCCATGTGTCACACTGTTATGTCTGCCACCACATCCTCACTACACTTTTCTGCAAAACAACGGTAGACCTCCATCCTGTCATGTGCATTGTTTTAATATACAACTGAAGATATCCATAAGGCTCTGCAAAGGTCTTCTGTGCTTCAGCTGATATATTTTATTTAAATTTTTGTTACTTTGTAGCAGATCATCAATTGAGAAAGGAGCTTTAGTATCGCTTAGTCGTGGGCGGGGCTAATCCAAAAATTGGCTCCACAATTTCTAAAGTGTTTATGAAAATATTTAGGTCCACAACTTCRAAAGCACTTATGCCACAGAAAAACTAGTGGAAGCTAATTTTAAAGCACAGTCTCAATTTGACACTTACTAGCTGACAACAATTCATGTACAATATATGCACAACACTGCCAACTAGTGATGTATGAACCCTTTTACAGCTTAATCCTACAACAGCTGATTGCTGGGGATGTGATTTCCTGAAACAGACCTTTAGCTCCTGGTGAAAAAATTAAAAAGTTGTTGAGGATTGCTAGTTCGGCTGCTTCTTTTTCTTTTGTTTGTTGTAGATTTTTCATTAAAGAAGCATCAAAGTAATTTTAAAACTATTTATTGGAAAACTGAAGCGATGCATTCTGGGTACATGACGGATTTGATTTGTGACGGGAAATGAAAGCATGGAGTACAGGAAAGTATCTTCCCTTCAAAATAAGAGCCTGGATTTTAAAGTTTTCCATGTAGTTGCTCTAGTTGACCACTAGATGTCAGTCTTCATCAGCATAACATCTTTGAATCATTTCTGTGTCTCTAACCCCGTTGCTTCGACCAATTACATCAAGTATTGAGCTCCAGTGTTTAAACTTTATTTTTTTAAAAGGAGCTCTGATTGTAAAGTAAAATAAATCAATACATACAAAATTTTAGTATGGATTACAAATGTTTACTGTTTTTACTGGGACAGGAAGTTCTAAACATTGCCTTCCTGCTACGTAAGCAGACACAAAGCATTGTGGGAAATCAGAAGCGTGACCCAAAGCAACAGTCAGCAGGATGTATACCTTCACAATAAGAGTGTTTATCTGGGAGGGGTGCTGTTGGATAGATCACATGTTGTGATTCATTGACAGTCATACCTTCTGCTGTTCAACATAATGATGACTGCTAGATAATTAGTTATTAGTGGTACTGCATTTTAATTTTAGGAAGTGCCAATCTGCTTATGAATTATAAAAATTAGTAAGACTGTTAAAGCACAAACGAAAAATTTAGGTCTGCAGTTAGCGGATTTGCGCTTTAGCGGGCTGGTGCCCACCATTGGTATTGCTGCTATTTGTTTTTATTAACAACACACACACACACACACACACACACAGAGGTTTGTATTTCTATCCTTATTAGGACCGTTCATTGACTTCCATTCATTTCCAGTTATTTCTACAGCCTAACCTTGACCACCAACCCTAAGGCTAACCTCACAGGTACCGGTTAGCCTAACCTGACCCTAAAACTAACCTAAACTCAATTCTCTCCTTGGTCCTATACCTAACCCCCAACCCAAATATGGAGTTCCACCATATTAGGACCGGTCTTTGGTACCCATTAGGACTACTGGTCAGGACAAGGTAGGTGTGTATATCAGAAACAGTCCTAAATGTGTAACAAAAACAAGTATACACACACACACACACACACAGAGTAGATGGATCTATCAGATACCCTCTGAGAGACGGTGTAAAGGTTTTGTGAAAGTCATCCTGCAGGGTGGGGTCGAGGTTAAAGGTGTTCTCCATCAAGGATTCCTTATTTCCACATCTGATCTGTCCAAAGAAAGCCTCCTCTAATCCAGGGAAGATAAGCCCACAGTCTGCTCAAAGAGGATCGACGGCTTGGATTTATAGCTGAAATGTGAGCTTAATATCAAACCTGTAGAAGACACAGTTAAGAACACTTGTGCTTTCATAGTGACCTCAGATACTGAGAGTTATTGATCAGGCTCGACTTTGTCAAACAAAGCGACATGCTGCACTCCCCGTGTTTATCAGCAGGGTGCAGCACTGCTTTTCCCAAACAGGAGGCGAAGTGGGGCGGAGGGGAGGGCTGAGGCTGGAGTGCCACTGAAACACAGAAATTGATTGCTGGAAAAGGGGGATGGCAATAAATCAAGCAGGAAAGCAAATGTAGAAAATGCTGTTCTTGTTTATGTCTAAACAGGCGGAATAGAATAAATGTGCTCTATTTTTCAGTCCGTTTGAAAGCAAATTTGATCGAATTTTGCATGCATTGCCAATCCCTCTGGTTACAGCCTAATTTTCAAAAAAAGGAAAGAAAGAAAACAAAAAAAACAACTGAAGCCTGTGATTTATAAGCTATGCTTCCTTTAAACACTATAATAGAATTTAATTTTGTTTTTCTTCTGCTTTCTGTTTTCAATCTAATTGACTTATTTATAACTTAATTAAAGCAACTGGTTTCTTCTGTATAAATAGTTTTATAAGATATTATGTCTTTAGATAATGTGAAGAGCACCACCTGTGCTACATGTCTCCCTCTTTTTTCTATCTCCTTTATTTTGCTGCTCTTTCCATCCATCCATCCATCCATCCTGTCCTGCTCGTCTCGTTCGTCTGACCCGCTGCCCTTGGAGTGCAGCTCCTCTGTCCTCCCGTATGGCTGAGATCTGGAGATGTGCAGAGGACTCCTGCTTCTAATTGGAGCTAATAGCTTTGGTCGTGTGCCCAGTCTGAGTCCGCTCGCTTGTGTTCGCTTCTGATTTGGCCCAGCTGACCACTCAGTGGTGCTTCTCCACTGGCCAAGAACCAGCAGCTGGAGCCACCAAACAACTGGCTGCAGATTTTTATTTATTTATTTTTATTCTGATGAAAACATCCTTTCATCAGACTCACAGCCATGTTCAGATGTTTAGTGAAGACGTGGATGCTGTAGCCTCACACACACACAGGAATGACATTTTTGTGAACACCTAAAATTTTATTGTTTCAGCCTTGCGTCCACTGAAATGATTTTTAAGAGCCTGAAAACATTTTGCATTTGAAAACAGTCCAGACTGTGTACGGAGGAGCGGCTTCACCTGGGGTTTGCYAGGTAAGAGGCTGAACGCAGGTTCTGGTGGGTTGTCGTACGGCTTGTGACATCATAAAATGTATAAAACTTGTCATTAATATACATTAAAATACATTTACTTACAGTAAATATGCCCTTGGGTGCATTTTTTTGGTCCTAGGACTGTTTTCTTAAGAAGTACACACCCAAAGTTGAGTTAAAAAACTTTTAAAAAGTGAATTTTGCATAATAGGTCTACTTTAAGTCTCTGCATTTAACCTATCACACATGTGAT